TAACTTAATGCCATCTATGAAAATCGGGCACGAACTTATGCAATCATCCAATATATATATATATAGAGAGAGAGAGAGAGAGAGAGAGAGAGAGAAATTTCTTTATTTTAAATAGTAACTGACGAGATATGTGATACAAAAAATTAAAAAATCGACACTATTGTTTATAGAAACGCTGCTTGGTAAAACAAGTAACACATGATTCACGAGTTTTTATAATAAAAGAAATATGATGACATATTTTTGCTTCTAATATACATATTGAAATCTTTGTGTGTACTAATTTTTATTACTTGTTCAAAATAGACAATAAAACTATATTTTTTGTAAGAGAGAAGCTTGGATACTTAACATATAGTTTAGGTAAATATAAGAGTTGTACATGAATTACTTAATTAAATGTAAATTTCGTATTGTTAATTGTAATTATATATCTTAATAATTGTAATAATAGTGACTACATATACAGGATATTCCAGAGTTCTTCTGTTAAAGGCACCAATTAGGAGTGCCTTCCAGATTTAAAATTATTTAAAGACGAAAATCCTGTTATAAAATATTGAGATCATTAAATATTAAATATATTTTACATTTTAATATTTAATACTTTATTAAAGATTTTTTATCTATGTATAAATGACTTTAGGAATCAGTCATAAATGTCATGGGAAGTCCGGAACATCCAGTATATATTTTTCGAACATATTAAATGGTTCTGGAAACATAAGATAATACTAGTATTTTTAAGTTACATTAGATTTAATATTTTCATCAATTAATTAAATCATATTGGCAGCTTTATATTTTTCATAAATTTACCAAAGTTGTTTGTAAGAAATTTTAAAAATATTTTGAAAGTTTTGAAAAACTTCATTTTTCTGTCAACTTTTTTGTATTGCGAGAAAAAGCATATTAAATTATGATTCAAAAGCATAATTAATTTAATAGACTTCTCCAGCCTAATGTGGATATTTTAGGATGATGTAAGAATTGGACAATATTATAATGGCATAATCAGAGATTAGAATTACCTAAAGATACTATATTTCATAATATTGATAATTATATATATTGTTATGGTGATTATTAACATAATGAATGAATTAATAACAATCAAATATAATTTGATTTTTGACATATTTGCTGCTGAGATGATCAACGTTTTTATCGTTAATACCCCGAATATGATTTTAGTTAATTAATATAGTTTAAACATATTCATATATAGTATTCAAAACAGTTTAAACGACTTTTTGGATTCGCTCCGAGATTTAAGTGCTTTTTGCATTTCAGTGTTATTTGCTGTTAAAGCATACGTATTATTAGTAGACAAATATTGTTGTGGACTCATATTGCAATAGAGCATTTAAATTTCGGATCTATATCCTTAACGGACAATATAACGAAATATTTCGCGGATATGTTACAAAGAAAGTTGTACATACATATAAGAATGTGCCTACATAAGAAAGATATTTATATGGACGTTAAGAATTTTGTGTAATTATTGTTATATAAGATACGAAATATAATTGAAAGATCAAAGATACCTGAAAATTTGTTGCAACGCAATTTCGCTACATGGAGAGAAAGAAAATAATATGTACATAGTTATATATGTATACACACATACATAGATATTTAAATTTGTCGCGAAATATATAACATATTTACGATAAAAAAATAAATATTATTAGGTCATAGATACGTAGTTTTCGTATCTACTCCTTGATCCTTTTTTTAAATTTAAAATATACTGTAATATATTCTACTTAGAACAAATTCTACATTGAACAAAAGATCCTCCATGTTGCTATAATATAAAAAAATTACTAAAAGAAGATTTTCAATTGTATCTCTCTCAAAGATATATCTAAACTATATTTCTTGATGTTTATTTTTCAATTTTAGATAATGCCTTTTAATTGTAAAATATCATAGAAGTTGAAATACTAATGTATTGTATTTTTTTATATTTTTATCATTGAAATAAGAATCAAATCTGTAATATTGGTTAGAATTGGCAATAATCGGTATCAATAATGGATCGATATACTCGTATCGCAAGGTGAAAGGAATTAAGGTTTCTAGAGAAAGTGCTGTTCCATGAACGATCAAATGATATATGTGCATTATAATGGCACGTGACGTTATCGTATTTCACCAATTGTGACATGAATAAAATCTTTTCGACAAAAAATATCAAATCTAAAACAAAAACTTAAAACGGAAAATAAATCATTTTCTATCTGATTATTATCATTGATAAGCTTGAAGTGATAAGACAGCGTCGATTACCGATTAATAATAATAATAAAATCATAAAAATTCATGTATATAATATTTGATATTTATGTATTATAGTTTACTTCTAACAAATACTTTTTTCCAGATATCTTATTCTTCTTAATAAAATTAAATTAAATTTCGCGCGAATTTCAGAGAATTTTAATTTGAAACTGTCAGAGTCATTTAACGTACGAAATTAAAAAGTATTAAAAAAAGAATGACGTATCAGATTTTTATTTCAAGAAAACAATCAAGAAAATTAAAATTGCAAAGAATGAAATTTACTTTTCGTCGATCAAAGGATTTATTATCGAGTAACGGGCTCGCGTATTATTACGATGCACCATGTATTAATCCGCTCCTGAGATCAGCCCTGCGCAATGAGTCACGGTACGAGACCACCGCTAGAGAAGCGACCGCGTCGCCAGTGACGCCAGTCGCCATGCCATGATCGCGCCAGTATTCGCGGGGCGTTTTTTCGACGCGGTTCTCCGTGTGTACTCCGTCGTGTCGCGCACAGGCCTATCCGTCGAGTCGCGTCGTAACGTTCGACTTCGACCCAATACGACGGGAATGATCGGCGGGAGAGCGGCCTACCTCGTTTCGCACGGCCGATGAATATATCGCGTTGCTCAACATCGCGCAACGATCTCGAACGAGGAGCTGAAACGAGGGCTCTCGAAACGAACCGGCGGCAAGTATATAGGAACGGTCGACTCGGCGCACCTTCCAGACGCGACTCCTCTTCCCGAAAGACGCGCCTTTTTTCGTCCTTCCGCGAAGTTCTCGGAAAGCTACCGCGAATTTTCCGAAAAACTTGATCAACGAGACCGCACATTCAATTTGATGATAAACGTGTGAATAATGCCGGCGATAATCGCGCGGTTACGATTTATGAGAATTATTATCCTGTGACAGGGGATTTATAGCTTCGATTCCGAGAAGTGCATCTCGACGGGTACGTAATATTCGTTCATTGACTCCAAGTTATTGACATCTTATTGATTGCTTTATCAAGTCTTGAATTTTTACGCTTGATTTTATTTTCCGCAATCGATATATTCGCATACAATTATATATTTAGAATTCAGATTTAGATTACATATTTTATCATTTATTTTTATTTTTCTGCTTGTTTATTTTTTCGCGTGTTTAAATAAAAAGATAATTTCCAAGCATATAATTTAAGATCATAGTATTAATATTTATTTATTTTCAAAGTCTATTTTGAATAATTCTTTAGATCTTTTCACAAGGTAAAAATAATATATAAAATTTTCCAAATGTAATATTTTTTCTTATTATTGATTCTCTTTATTTTTTATTTACATACAATTTTATCAAAAAATATATTTGTTTTATTTAAAAAAGATAAAAAAAATCACAGTCCTCGCATTTTTATTCAGAATAGATTTTGGAAATAATACACGTTTTTCTACGTTTTTAAAAATAATTATTCAAATTTTTAATCTTTGCAATAGAGAAAGATATGTTTTTTCAGAGAGATAATTTTAATTAATAAAATAAATTAAAAAATATATATATTTATTAATACGTCTGTGTAATAATATAGATTAAAATATTGGAGCAAAGATTTAAAATTCGAACTAACATTATCTCTACTGCTTTATACGCTTATTTTAATATTCTGTCACATTTATTTTTTAACAAGCTTTTGCATTGTTTCTGCTTTGAGAGTTATATATATATAGCATGAACTGTGTCAGCTTTATTTCTTCTTACCGTGCATTTAACGTTAAATATGATTGTTATCGTCACTTTGTATACATATGTGTCATATCTGTCATATTTGTACATGACATACAATTTTCATTTTTATTATATAAAGTTCCAAGGCAACTGTAGTCACGACAATTGTGCAACGAGAACGTACGGTACTTTTGATTTCTTTATGTGTGTTTATCGGTCTGAACTCTAATCGATAACTTCGACTTCGTTTCATTTCTTGTTTTTCGCCAAGCTCGGGCTGATCTCATCGTTGCTATTAATACACAGATTCTATTTCAACGTGTTTTGTTTTCATTTAATTTTTCTCCGAGAAAGATGCAAGAAAATATTGCCACGGTATAGAAAATTGAAATTTAATTTATCGGTTCAACCACTTAACCACACAGGTCTCTCCTCTCTCCTCTTTTCCGCCGGGATTGTTTACGACGCCGATAATTATTGCTAATTAAGTGGTTGTTGATGTGTTTGATTATGTGCAAATATATATATCTCTCTCGCTGCCATTTAACTCTTGCTTAGCTCTATTTTTAATTGCTTACGAACGAGTTTCATTCCTTTATTGTGCATACGATTCGCGTAACAACGTGATATAGTACGGATTCGATATGGAAATATGAATGAAAAATGTGAACGATAAAGTTATCACTTTCGGCACAGATTTTGGAATGTATAATATATAAAAATTTATTTTTCGAAATAAAATAATTATTTTATGCGAAGCAAGAGCATCAAATTCGATAGAAAATACTTAGCTCTCCATATATGTGCATTCATTTTCTAAATTTTATTTTTTAAGCCCAAATTTTTTCTCTCTGAAATTGTTCGGCTAAAATGTGAAATAAAATGTTACTTGAAAACATTTTTCTCTGTGGGATTCAAGCGACTGAAAATTATTAAAATTTCCTGAATCTCGAATGCTAAAAGATATTATAACTCAGCTTAGAACCATGATAAATTCAGACGTGTGCGTCCGAAGACGCGGTGGAACACCGGAAATTCTACGGCGGTACCCGATCATTGGTGTAGAATATTTGTTAGCTTCCGGGAAATGCTCGCTTCGTTAAGCTCGATTTACAGACGCTTTTATACTCACTCGCGCGGTGCTATTTAATTATCATTGGTCTCTTTATCTTTAGTTTTCAGCTCGGCCTGATTATCCTTTGGCTTGACTCCCGATTAAAAAACAAAACCAAAAAAAAAAAAAAACGCAAGGGCAAAAGACAGAATGCCGTGGGTGGACTAAAACTTATCGCTTTTCCCTACGCGCTCTATGCGGAAAAATCTTGATGGGCAGATTCTTTCCGTAACAACCGCATTTACATCTGGGAGGCTCCTCTTCTGCTTTTACGGCACAGGGCGAGGGTGATGCTTTGTCGCCTTCGACGATTCGAGATTTAACTGTGCGAAAGAGCCACATCGATGCCAAAGTCGGCAACTAAGTGGAAATTCTGGAGGTCTCTTTTATCTTTATTTTTATATGCGAAAATAAAGCCTGAATACATGCACATCCTCTTCGCGAGGATTGTACGAGTGCCGGTTGCACCAGCATCGCTGAACACGATTTAATTAGATTTTTCTTCCTACCAATGCCATTTTCATTGAAAGAAGCGTATTTTCTTTTCGGATCATATTTTCTCATATTTCATAAATAAAAAAAAAAAAATCGAATTAAAGTTGTATCACACACACATAAAGTAGAAAAAAATCAAAGCGTGTGATACTTTCAGTATCGAAAATTAATATAAAAAATCTTTTAAATGAATATTTTTTTAGAGTTGCTTGACTTTTATTTAAATTTTCCTTTTGGACATTATACGTAAAGATGATCGTAATTAATTGGATCGTTATTTTACTATTTTATTTATGTTATATTTAGAGAGCCGATCTTTATATATATATATATGTATGTATAAAGCCAGTTGAATCGATATTTAATTAAGCAAGTTGTTGGTGCAACCCCTCCCTCAACGGTTTATCGATGTATCATCGATACATCGATGATGCTGTTACATTTCGTGATAACTGTGCCGTTCTTTTCGGATGCAAACAATAAGAGAACTCGCCCTGATTTAACACTGCGATAATTAAATCTACTGCTCTACTAACTTCTTACAAAGGATAATCAGAACTTAAATTTTATATCGATCTGTCGATGTAAAATGTTTGAAATAATCAAAAATAAATCGTAATTTACTCATTATATTTGATTTTGATTATTATTATTTTGAAAATTACTCTGATTTATTCTGTTGTAATTGTTTATGACGAATATTTTTAAATGTTATAAGTGTTTTTTGAATGCCAAATTTACTTCCTCTCAGCAAGATTAATTTTGTGTGAGCCTTTTATATTTTTTTATTCAATTCTTACATTGTACGTATTCTTCTTGAATAATAATATTTTCTTAATGATACATATTAACGTGCATTAACAATGAATAATAAACGTATGTCACATTAATAATTTGTAGGATTCACAATAACTGTCAAAATAGCTTCTTAAGCACAATTTATTGGACTTGACAACTTCTTTCCTGTAATAATTATTTTTATGTTGACCAGTTGCTTATAATATTTATCTTGATGTGTTGTTTAGATATTATACTAATAACCCTTTTATTTCTAATTTTTATCAAATTATTTCCATCTCTCTCTCTCTCTTTTATATATATTATAATTAATTATATCTAGTAATATATATAAAATCACATATAGTATATAGTTGTATATGTGTTGAACCAATATTATATCTTTTATGTAGATAAAATAAAAGATGGAATAAAATGGAAATAATTTGATATAATATAGATGGGCGGAATAAAGAGAATTGCAAGATATTATATATATATGTAATACCATCAAATCTTACATATTGCTACGACAAATGCGTGTTTGCAATGTTTTTTTATCGCAATTGTGGAAAATTAATCGATCGCGTATACTGCATTGCGGTGTGCAAGTTGCACTGCGGACGAGAGGCAGCCACGTGCCGTATAAGTAAAGCTGTGTGGGTAGAGCATGGCGCGTATATGTGTATGCGCGCGAAATAATATGAATCTTGCACATTCTTCAAGGAAGGTTACGCAAACGATTTCATTGAAACGACGACTGGCTGGCATAGTAAACGAAACGGGTATTTAAAGTTAATTTCAACTACAACTCTCTTACAAATATGTATGTAACTCTGCAGTCCTCTTGTATCGAATAACTTGTGATCGCAAATGTCATCTCTTTATCCATTTATTTATAAATTTTGTTATTTTTATTTATAAGTTTAGTTATTTTTAGCACTTTGACGTGCCTTTATTTTTCCTTCAAAGAAGAATCGAGTGTGCGAATTGAGTAATATAATGCTGCCGTCAATATACGCGCATATTTTGACAATCGCAGAGAGCGTACAGCACTCGTTTCCTTGTATCTCATACATACTCGATACACGTTATCATGCCTAAGGCTTCCGTTATCGGTCACGTAATCTGGAACATCGTATTTTTCCGTGCGAAAGTTTTACGCGCGCGTGACCTTCGCGCCTGTTCGCGCGCGTTTGTTTCTTGTACCTTGCATATGTATGAAATGACGGAAATATTGTTTTGCAGGAAGTCCAAGAGGACCGTTCTCGAGGAGAACGACCAGAAGGAGAGCAAGCGCAAACGCTCGGCATCGCCTGTGGTGGTCACACAGGTGATCAGGCAGGACTACGATCGAATACCGGAACAGGAAACCGAGGAGATCAAGACGAGAAGGACAATGGAACATCCGTTGAATAGTCGCTTATCGCCGAAAGTCACACCGATCACGGAAGATTATGAGATCAGCAATCACGTGCTAGGTCTTGGCATCAACGGGAAAGTCGTGCAGTGTTATGACAGAAACACGAGGCAGAAGTATGCCCTCAAGGTAAGCGCTTGCCTTAAATCCGTAATCTTGTTTCGAATTCTTTGAGATACTGTTGCATACAAGTAAAAGATTTAAGATTTTTGTTAAGATTTCGAAGCTTTCATTTTATTAAGTTCCTAGTTTTGCCTCAAAATTTATTTAATTTTGCTTGAAAGAAACCAATTCAGGAAAAAATAGAAATATTTACGTTCTTTTTTTTTAATAACAAATGTACATAAATATCTTAATTATTACATTTTTTTATAAATATAAAATGTATTTCTCAAAGAGAATTTGTCATATTATATTGTCAAGAATTTAAGACGATACTAGGAAGAGAATTAATGTCCTAAAATCACAAAAACTTTTCTGGATAAATGTAAATTGTATGCAATATTATTAGCGTCATGTTTAAAAATTTTAGTTTGAACAGTAAATTCTTTAGTGTATAATTAATCAGAAAAAGTCACCGGTTTAAGTCTCTATTAAATTGTTTAAGATTTTTTGAATAATTCTACTTATATGTTAGACTTTCTTTAGCAACATTTTTTATTGAAAATTATATTCCTCGCGTGTGAACTTGAAATAAAAATAACAGCTCATAAATATACAGAGATCGAGATATTTATCGGAAGGTTAAGAGTAAAGCATCGGCTTTTTTCATTCTCAATGCGCTTTGCGCGCGCATCCTCGGTTATTTTTAAGACATGAAAGCGACGGTTCGCGTATCCAAAGGTGTTAATCCGTTTGGTTAACACCTCTTTGAAGGAGCATTGATCGGCCGTCTTGGCCGTATCGATACCCGCTTGGCCACATGAAGGTGCGATCATCGGCTAAACGATGTCCAAGCATGTTCAGACCGCGAGTCATCCTCTATTTATACCCTGGTGATTTCCCCGTTCGACGATGTCAGGCCTTCAACGTATCTCCCCCGAAGGTGGCCTGGCTCTTATTTTACGGCAGTCAAAAAAATTTAATCACCATCGTGGGAGCAGTTTCTACGAGAAAGTTGACGTCGCCCGTCGACGCGTTCTCGCTCATCGGATTTTTGATTCTCGTCACGAGACAAGAAAGAGAGGTTGAAAGGCTATCACGATCCATAATTAAATTATTCATTATTGCTGGACTATATCTCTTGCGCGGCAAATTGTATCCTAGAGCATGTGTTCCGCGATGTATTCATTTGGAAGTTATACGTGATGTAGATAAAATTGCTTTATGGTACCCCGTCGGTTTTACACAATAGAAATTATTTCGGTCAATATACGTGGTTAACATACAGAACGATAGAAAAAAAAGAGTTTGCTAGATTCATAAATAATTACAATTATCTGATCGAATTGACGTTTAATTGAGTAATATTCATATTAATATATTGCCACCAATCGATATTATATTATTCCACCATTATCTGGATGGTCCTATCTCTTTCTCTCACCCATTTTCTGATAATATTCGATATGATATGATCGATATCATAAAGTACATGTATTATGTCTCGAAATTACGTATTTTGTACTAGATTAGTGCAATATCTTGCCGAAATGTAAGGCTCAAGATTGCATTCTTTAACCCAAATATCTTTGCAGTCGATTTTTCTCTTCACGAGGAAAATATTATTTAATAAAAAAATATTATTTATCTTGTATAATTTTTAAAATTACTTAGTTTATTATGATCGCGCTTCAACGATATTCACACAGTTTAAAATCAATAAGGAGCTGCTTGTGAAAGCTGCAACTTCTTGTAAAGATCCCGCGGTCTATGAGATCAGCTGTAGAAATAATTTGACGGCAGTTTGACGAGTAATGTTGATTACAGAATGTAGATACATAGAATGCCGATGACCGATTATACGAGTATCACGTGACGCTTACATGTGCTAAGACGTGATCGCCGTGATGTATGATATCTTTTTCTTTGTATGTGTGTTCATATTTTCAATATTAATAATCAATAATTAAATCTTAAAGCAAAAGTAATTTATATTAAAAAAACTTGCATCGCTAAAAATTATTTTTATAGCACTTGATGATATAACATAGCTTTCCTTCAACAATGAATTTCGTAAGTTTGTTTTTTTTTTAATTTTGCGTGAGGAGTTTGTGATTCTTTTTATTCGAAAGTTTCGAGAGATATTTCTCTCTCTCTCTCTTAGAGAGTCTAAAGATCGTTTTTATAAAACACACACATACTTCGCCGTTTAACCCCACGTTGTTCTCGCCATGAAAAGATATCTATACCATGACGTTTCTCGGACTCGTTACAAAAATAATCAGAATGCTCCACACGAAATTTCGGAAGGGCGTTTGCGGTATCGAGGCATTACATACCGCGGGGAATCGTGTCGCTGATGATTTTTCGCAGCGGTACATATGACGCTGCAGTTTGGATAATAGCGGCGTTCAAGTGTAAACATTTCTCTCGCGTTCGTGGAAAAAATTTTTTTCTTTTTTTTTTCACGATAAATGCAGAAACTTCTCACTGGCGATATTTCTTTATCAAAGCATTTAAACTCTTACGTGTTTACTAAAAATATCTTTTCTTATTTTACTTGTCTCAGCAGTGTTATTTCTCATCGTAAACGCGTGTGATACGAGATGCTCGGAGAAAGTCACGTGCGCTTTAGCGCGAGACTCTCGCGGTATCAATCATTATTTCTTTTTTCTGCCGTTGCACGTGTCATTTGTGTGTGTCATCAGCGTTTAAACTCGCGATTATTGACTTCTCGTCGTGTTTTTTAGTGATGTCAGTCATAAACTGCGCAATTTTTTCGAGGAGACGCAGAATGCGACATGAGTTGCACGCGGAATGATTTTGAGCAATAAGTTGCACAAAGAAAGATGTACCAAGTACAAGTTCGCGACTTATATATTCGCGATGCATGATCTCATCTTTTCCGGCGCAAAAGTTATAGTCAATGGCTTCGGAGAAGTATCAGGGTTCCCGAGAGACGTTCGTCCCTCGTTGGGGGTCAAAGTGGCACGATCGTTAAAATTGTCGCAAGAGTCATAATCGTCGTATCAGTCGCCGTATTTGTCAACGTAATGAATATTGACAAGTCGCGATCGTGAGATATGAGCATCCTTTTCGAATTATATTTTTCTTTATTTTTAATCCACTATGATAACGAGACGCTGAGGAATTTGCGATACCGTTGCAGCTGAGTAATAGCATCGAATCGATCGCGTATATTAACGGGAATAGCGACGGAGAGATACGAAAGAGAGATAGATATAAAAAAATTATCTATTACGAAAGTATTACCACACCTTACGCAACTTGAGTATGTATGTATATTTGATTATCTTCTTTCATAAAAAATAAAGATAGTAAAAATGAATCTAAAATTTAAGGAGTAAACATTAATTTTTTAATTATTTTATTTTATTATTTAAAGATATCTTTATCCTTATCACCAATTTTATATAAAAAAAATAATAGATTGATCGCGCGATTTTGATTGACAGTTCGGAGAAAACTATACGGATCGAAATCGCTATTCGAAATCTCAAAAAATGTTGTTACATCATCATTATTACATATAATGATGAATTAAATTATCTAACACACTCAGCTACGCGTATATTGTTTCTTTATTAAAAGAATGCGCGCTAAAGTATCTCAAAAGGTTCAATATGTGATTGAATCTAATCTTATCAGTGATTTTATCCGCACTATTCTGGTTATTGCAATGGTCGGTGCGTCGTTGCATACACTCAAAAAAATGTCTTGCTGATATAGGTAGATTTCTAGGTGTCACAACAAAAATTTATCGCTATTTTTTGTATCTGTTAGAATATTGTCTGTTACATATAGAATTTATAGCAGCAACATTCTAATAATATCTTCTAGAAAATTTAGGTCCCATTGCCAAATGTTAATCACTGCATTGGATAAATATGAGTTTCGATACTACAGCTAGAACGATCTTTGTGAGAAATATAACTGCCAATTATAACTGCAGCATCGAAAAATTGAGAGAAATTGTTTAAAAGAGCTAGATAGATTGGGCGCGTTATACAAATATGTTAGATGTGAGGATTATATATTCATTTGTTTCTTGCCGCTAATTTTTTCTGTGTACCACAGCCAAACTTTATAACGAGTATGATTGGCCTTAACATGGATAGGCGCCACAGAAAAACATTCTTTCTAAATTTCACAAACAGTTCAGATATAAATTCTCTCTCTGTCACTTAGATTGATTAAATGCGAAACATATGCGATATCACAGTATTTGCTAATCATTTATGTACCTCAGTTAATTTTGCGCACCCAGAAAATTTTTGCTGTAGTTGCAAAACCGCTTTTTTGAGTGGTAGCATGATAGAGTTTAACGTAGAATCAAACGCGCGTGCGGGGCAGATAAGAATTATATTTAAAAAAAAGTTACTTTGCATTCGAACTTGAGCTACTTCCAGCGTCGTATTTATCTCGGCATCGATTGCGATTTGATTTGAATAAATCTCTGCTGGTATTCGTCGATGAAACTTGTTTGGAAACATAAGACCGGATACACGAATATCATTTTATACAACGTATGTAGAAGCGCCATAGACGTCAATTACGCATCATTGTTAGCTATTTTCCTCACGATGATTAGTCATACAATACACATCGGCACCTGGCTATCTTACACGCCGATACAAGAAGCGCCCATCTGGTGAACGTTGTGATATTTATGACATCTAATGCAGTGGAGTCATCGTTTGCGCATGACACATTGTACACTCTGGATGATCTAGAAAATCAAGGCATAATAAAGCAGGATAGAATACAGATATATCGTTCAAGGTT